ACTTTATCATGGGTGGATCTTACCAACAGTGGTCTTGGTTTTACTCTTAAATGTCGTCCGATCTAAGAGCAACAACTTCTTGTCTAATATTCCTGTTAATGTTTTGATTTAATACGAGCTTTCTTACGTTTTACTGCTCACTCTCGGTGCAGGAGGAAGGACTCAGTGGAGAAGAGTGTTGTGTTAACATTGATGCTGGTCCAGTCCCCCTGAGATGGTCTAACGGACAGGGTCACTGATATAGTTCATGTCTTTAACAAGGCGAGGGCGGCCCTGAGCTGTGTAGCATTAAAGCCAAATTAAGTGTGTTAATACATGCTGGATCCTCTCTGCTTTCTGACAGCCTGCAGTGCTGCTGACCCTCATTAACCCGGCCACTGTACCTGCTCGCAGCTCATATCAATGACCAACCAACCTATGCATCCCACAGTAATAACGTTAGACAAAGTCATATCAGCAGAAAATGTTCTGTAAAAAAAAGTTAATTTCTCATTTATACCCAAATATATTTGAGCTTAGAAAATGGGCTCTCGAACCCCGCGGGCGGTGACACATCAATAATGTGTGAGTGTTTAATTTGTTAAGAGAAAGTTAAAGTGAGAAAAAGTGCAATTATCAGTGTTTTACCCACTGGCACAGACAGCTGAGGAGTAGGAAGGATGACCCAGGGGATTTATCTCAGCGTGGAAATATGTTTGTGATAACAAACAGCTGGGAAGATGCTGCTGCTGCTAAAGCTGCATGAGTGTGTGTGACATAATCCAGATTCTCAGATAGAATCCAGCTTTAAAACAGCGTCTCACTAATTTAGAAACATGATGTAAAGATCTCGTTGAGTAGCAACACTTTTCAATACATGTCTCTTTCTTTGTTTCATGAATTTACACTCGTGAATAAATACAGTAAATGAGTCAACACCTGGGTAATTCAAGGTACAACAAAGTGCTACACAGCTGCATAAAACCGCTCATTGCTGAACTTAATGGAAATCTTTTTATACAGGAGGATAGTTTGGACTGTCATCCTCCAAAAACACAAATATTTAGGTGTGATTGGAGAGGGAGTGTGAACCTAACGAGTTGATAGTTTGAAACACACACATATGTGCAGGCTGAGGTACCTCTGTGTGGTTCTGGAGCTGCACAGAAACACTGCAGTGCATCGTGAACACAGCTGGAAGATCATCGGTGTCTCACTCTCCCCCCTCCTGGACATTTACATCACCCGCCTCACCCATAAAGCCGTCGGTATTGTAAAGGAATCCAGCCTCTTACACAGCCTGTTCAGCCTTCTGGGAGACAGTGCTGGAGCCTCCGGACCGGCTTTACCAGATTTATGGACAGCTTCACCCACCAGGCTGTCAGAAAGCTGAACTATCTCCCCCCAGAAACACCGGACTCTGAACCTCCTCTCCACCCTTACTGGGTGACAAAGTGTGGTGTGGGACCATTTCATGAAAAATGACAAAGTTTGCTGCAAAGACTGCGACAAAGACCCCAATGATGGACCACTTGAACTACAAACATCCGACAGAGGTTAATGAATCCTCCTGCTAGCAAAGAGGATCTGTAGGGTGACCAGATGTCGCCGATTTTGGGAAACAGTCCGACCTCTGGCTGACCTGTCCCCGGAAATGTCCCAGGTGTGTGGACTTGAACAACTTTTACTACGGTCGCTTAGCAGGTGGGAAGCGCAATGAGGAAAATGTGGAAAAACATGTTTTTATGTAGATTTTCTGCCATTCCCAAAAGAAAATCGATCAAAATTGATGACTGATCATTAATTTATATGACTAATCGATCGAGAGAATTTCTTAAAATGCTCATTCCTAGTATCTATACATGGACTGAGTAGGTACGATGGTAGATACACACACATATTTGACTCTCCTACTGTATTATACTTTCATCTGTTGTACTTTTTGCTTCTTCGATTCCACATGTCAGAAACAGACACTAAAAATCCTGAATCCTGAATATTTTTGACACTTCCTCATGCGAACGGTTCTCCATCTCTTCTTTAAGGTGTGAAAATGACAAAGCGTGGCACACGGCATGTAAAGCAGGTTTAGGTTGAAATCTATCAGCTGCAGGCGCTGCTGAGTGTGAAAGGGGGCAGATGCAGAACAAAAAGCAGGTTTGGCAGATTGGACCCTGTGAATGGCTGCCCAGAACATGAGCCAGCGGATGGCAGATCAGAGGAGAAGTGTTGCCAGTGAAGTGGGCAGTCGCTCTCTTTTAACCCTACGTTTTCCCTCCTTTTTTCTCCTCCTCTATCACTCTCTCTCTCTTTGGGGATTAGACGCAGCTGCCCGCCCGTGTACAGCCGGTGTACGTCTCTTCATCTGATACCTTTACAAACACTTGCTTCTTTCTTTTCTCGCTCATCTCTCTCTCTCTCTCCGTCTTTCCTGCACCTCGCTCGCTCCGACCTTCTGGTTCCATGCGGAAAAAGCAACATCTGGCTTTTTAAAAGGATCCACTCATGCACCTAAAAAGGCTCCACTGACTCCAACGTCCTGAATAATGACTGAAGCTTCTCCCCCCCTCAGATAAAGACGGAGGCTGCGTCATTTATCTCCTCATTCACTGCCCCCAGCTGGCCGCACAAAAATGTGGGAAAAACTTTCGAATATGAACAATTTTCTCAACAAGGTGACTGCGATCTGATAACGCACAGGGAGGACCGGCGGGCAGAGCCGATTGTTTATGCGGAGCAGCCTCTTTCAAAGGCGCACAATGGCGTGGAGATGTGGTCCTTGACCCAGTTAATTAAAATACTGGTGGAAATGTAACACAATCATGTCTTTGAAGTTAAACACAACAGTGCGATTCATGTTCCCAGATTAGCATTCCTTTCTCACCAGTTTGATTTAATTTACCCCCGGACTATAGAATTACGGGAACATACTGTCGCAGCCCTGCAGGAAATAAACAGGAGCGCTGTAATTAAAGTTGGAATGCAGTTTTAATTAACCTTAATGTTTGTTTTGACTCCTGCTCACATTTGGCCGCATGTGTGTTTTGACATGTTTACATGGTAGTTAAACCGAAGGTGAAACAGTAAAACTAATGACTGCTTACTGCGCCGCATTGTATATTTATGTTAAATGTTAATGTGAATGTTAACAGCAGCAGCGGCGTGGAAGGATAATTAAGTTTGATTAAATTAGGTTTTCATAAAGAAATTAAGATTTAATACAGTGAGACAAAAGGGACTTCTACTGTGATTATTCAGACACGTTAGATTATCAGTGAAATAAATGTACGGTACATTAAACTGAAGACAATAATACTATCTTAAACATTTAACTCCAATTTAGTCGCATTAGCAGGTTGGAAGTATGTGGAGATAGAGAGAGAGGGTGGAGGACATGCAGCACAAAGTCGGGGCTGGACTCCAACCTGCGACCGCTGCGGGGACTGTGGTCTCCAAACATGAGGCATTCTAACCCCCAATTTCCACCGCATCCAGAACGGCTCCAATCTGGAACAGCAGCAATTTTCGCCATCTGCCAATTCCCACCGGATCCATTTTTGAGAGGAATTTTGTGGTTTCATAAATTTGGATTCACATGCGATCACGTGATTACAAGTTGTCTCTATAAAGACAGACACATAGACATATAAGCAGTAGATTGTGTCCTTCCAGAAGAGGAAATCTACTTCTAGACTTCTAGAATCAGCATCTCCTCATCCATGGTGTCATCGGGGTGAAATGACGTCTGAAAACCTTTCACTTCACACAGAAGTCGGTGGAAATTGAGACGTTAACTTGAACAGTTACGATCAGCTACGATCGGAGGATACGACCTTCTAGTAGGCATTCTGGATGCGGTGGAAATTTGGGACTTTCATGGTTTCCACATAATCAATCGAAAAGTACTTCTTGAATGATTAAACAGATCTGTTGTGTTGCTGGTTTTTGAGAGCACAGACCGCTGACATAACTTGCACATCGGCTTAATTGCTCAACGTCACTTTCGAGATACCAGAACCACCGCCACACAACAGAAGTTAAATACCTTTCCTCTCAACAATAACATCTTAGGAGGATGACTCATATTTATGGCTGACATCTATTTGCTGCCTTCAGCTCCACTTTTAACTCAACGTTCAGTCAGAAGTAAGACTTCCTGTCCAGCACGGGTTTATCTGTGCTGAAGTTATCCGCCATGCTCCGGCGTCCGGAAAAAAATAGAACCCTGGCAATCGGCTACGAAGCCCGCTGAACCACAGGGGTCCGGAAAGAAACCGGTGGAAATTGACTCATTAACTTGAATGGAAACGATCAGCTGTGATTTGCAGATTCAGTCTTTTCGCTGCAGTTACAGATGCAGTAGAAATTGGGGGTAACCTGCTCAGACATCTTATCTCTGATATAAAGCTAACGTGATTGGAGAACTTTTTAAAATCTGTTTTTACTTTAATTGTTGAAACTCAAACCTTCAACTTCATTCTTACTGTTACTGTCACAGACCTATCATCGATAAATCTGGTGCCACATCTTCAGCAGCAGCAGCTCTAAACCTGGACTTCATAACTGGAATAACCAAGCGCGGCGGTTTGTTTGTCCTCCATGTGGGTCTCCGTCAGCGGTTGGTGTTCAAAGAGAGACCCTGACAGGCTCAGCTGAGCTCCAAGAGGTTAACGCAGACAAGCAGCTGAGGCTGAGCGAAAATACAAACTGCATTCAAGTGCGACAACACTGAATCAGAGGACACAGCCTCTCTATAACCACCGCCATAAAGACGCCGTCAGTACAGAACCATAAACTGGTTCTGCATGTCTCATAATCATCGTGTGAAAAACCGTCAATAACCAAGTCGTGTGTCGGCGTTAAATGATCAGGTGTAGTTTGAGGAGATGAAGAGAAGAGATGAAGGTTGCAGGCGGGCGGGCGGGCGGGCGACGGGATGGGGTCTGTGTGCAGACGGATTGTTCTGTGACAGACAGAGGCCGGCCCGCCACCTCTCTTCTTTACAGATAAATAATAGGAGCGAGCAATGAGCAAAGACAGCGAGGAGGGATTGAATGTCTCTGAGCCGCTACTCCAAGTGCAACGTCATTTATCAGTGTCACAGCAGACAATCCATGTTAGCCTAACACACAGCAAACACACACGCACACACAGTCACACAAACACACACACACAAATGTTATGACCGCAGGCGACAGACAAGGACAGAGAGTCCCTGTAAGAGAATTCAATTCAGGCTTTAAGCAATTTTCTCCAAAAAATACATGAGAGCGAGACGAGTCTGAAGACGGTTTTTTTAGGTCCCTCTGCACCTGAGATTTTCCAAATTTCATGCTGCCGTAAAAACTTTGGCTGTTAAAGAAAAGAAGCATTTCCTCTTGGAAGAAAAAAGACCAAAAACTACAAGTAAGACCCTTTTTGTTCAGTCCTTTGGGTTAAAAAAGTTTGAGGGAGTTTGAAAAAGTTTCTCATCTTACTCTGGATTTGTACTTTTATCACAGTGTAACTCACTTACACCGTCAGATATCCATAAACACAACCAGAGATTTAAACAATCATATAATTTTTTTTTTTTTTGCGTATTGCAAACATTACCTTCCATACATGAATAAAATCTGCATGCAAAGCACATGCAAACTAAGCAAAGAGAGAGTAATTCCAATATCACACCCCATTAAACAAACACACGGCTGACTGGCTGGCTGTAAAACCTCTGAGAAATCTCTCTCTCTCTCTCTCTCTCTCTCTCTCTCTGTCTCTCTCTATCGTTCGTAGCCTGTATACAATAACCAGTTAAGCACAAAATCCAGTTCTTATTATTCAAGGCATTCATGTGGAGATGTAGTTATATGACTCCGACTGTTTGTGACCTCTCCTGCAGCACTCAGAGCCCGATGGCGAGATCTTTCCTCCGTATGTGTGACAGCTCAATCCTGCGTGACACACTCCTGTCTCGTTGTCTTTATACGTCAACCTCCCCGGGCGAGCTGATGACAGTCAAGTGAAGAAACCCCTCCGTCACGCCAGTTCAACAACCACTCCTTTGACTCACACCCTAAAAACCGAGACTGAGAGACAGTCGGCATTCAGAGTTCGCAGACATCTGTGCAGAGGAGAGGAAATCTGAGAGTATTTAACAGAAGAGTCACGATTTCTCTACGGATTTATTCGTCTAACTTTTAGAAAGGTAGAAATGTAGAAATAAAACTTTGAAACAGCTGTTTACATCTCAGTTTGACTGACAACAACAGAGTCTCTTATATGATTCTCCTGCAGCTGAAACTACGGCACACAAAGTTTCTTGTCCTGTTTTTCAAGGTAACTTCAGAGACAGAGAAATCCTCGGTGCTAAAGCTAACCGACTGACTAACTATTGTCCCAAATGGTAGAGGCGTATCCTGTGAAATTTAATGAGTCCTCTTTTTAAGGTGTTTCGCATCCTCAAAACTAGGGCTGGGTGATACACCGAAAATTAACCGATACCAAAAATTATGCCAATAACCGACACCATTTTTCCCATATCGGTATATTCGGTGTTACATAAACAAATAAATCAAAGTTGGTTTTGGATGTGTGTAGGTAGGCTATGGTCTCATGTCCCGTTAAGACGCTGTCCTACATCAGAGACGTGACTCCACCCCATCTAGTCCGTAACAAAGAGGGAAAGACAGGTGAGGAGATGGAGGACGGAGAGAAAGTTGGAGCGGCTGAAGTAGACGAAGTTTGTGGTGAGCAGTTTGTGGAGAAGTTATCGTCCATTTATCGTTTTTAAGGTGAACTGATCAATATATCAGGATAATGATTTGAGGACATATCGCCCAGCCCTACTCCAAACTCCAAACTTAAACCACCTTCGTCAGCTGTAGACCTGAGGCTAAAATCAACAGTTTGAACCGTGTTGTAACAGAGTAGATGATTTATCAGCATTTTCATTTTCCACATTTTCTTCAGTTGGTTCTTATAATCACAGAAATTGTTTTCACACATCTATTTCATGGGACTCGTGTGAGTTATCTTACAGGAACATTACCAGTAAAAGCCTTTTCGTTGGTTAAACAGCGTCCAGGTGTTCAGGTGCCAATCAGAGCTCTGAAGAGTCCCAGTAAGACCCCCAGACCTTATTGAATCTCGAGTCTATGACCAAGAAAACTGTGACTCTCTGACACGCCGTCTCGTTGGTGTGAGAGTTTCAGATGTGGATCTTTTAAAAAGTCTTTTTCAAACTTTTCAAAGTTTTTTTCCATCATATGAAAGATAACAGGGTGCACCAGTTTCTCGGCTGCCAATGTCAGGCCGTGGGTTGGAATCATAAATTCAGCTTCTCTCACATGTATTAGACTTTTAAGGAAAAAGGAGGGCAAGAATAAGACAGCTATCCTCTGAGTCACGATGATGCAGGGAAAGAGTCTTGAGCTAGAATCCCTAAACTCTCACTTTGAAAATGTAAAAGTTATTACAGTAAAATCACTGACTTTATATAGAGGCTTTACTGGTTTGACTCCCTTTCTGTGCTCCTCTCAAACCAAAGCTAACTGTCCCCCCTAAAAAGAAAACTTAAAGCTCTTGTGAGAAACTTTTGGTTTGTATCGACTTTGGCGCCCCCCTGTGGACAACAGAGCCTTCGCCTATATAGTGTCTCCTGCCAAAGAATCGAAAAACGAAAAAAACTTCAATATGAATTTTGTGTCTTTCATAAAAGTTAGTTCCATTTAAAGATTTTTAAAGCTCCTATGAGGAAATTTTGGTTTGTGTCATCTTTGGCGCCCCCTTGTGTACAAAAGAGTTTTTGTCTATATAGTATCCCTGTCTATAAAATGTATCATTCTGACATTTATTGTGAATATTTTATAAACAAAAACATAAAATCAGTTTCTGCAGCTGCCTGGCTGACACCTACCCCCTCACACCAGTTTAAGGCTTTAAAGATTAAACCTAAAAAACGATCAATCTTGTTTCTGATGGTTTGCTTTTAAGTATCACAAAAAACATCAATATGAATTTTGTGTAATTCATAAAAGTTGAAAAGTCCTCACAGGTGCTTTAAAAATCTTTAAAGCTCCCGTGAGGACCTTTAAGTCTGTGTCATCTTTGGCACCCCCTTGTGGACAAAAGTGTCTTCGCCTATATAGTGTCTCTTGTCAAGAAACGTCATCATTCTGACTCTTTTGACAGTCAAATTCATCATTAATTGTGAATATTTTATACAAAAAAACTTAAAAAATCAGTTTTTGCATCTGCCTGGCTGACACCTACCCGCTCACATTAGTTTAAGGCTTTAAAAGTTAAAACCAAAAAACAATCAATCTTGTTTCTGATGATCTTGTTTGCTTTTAAATATCACAAAAAACATCAATATGAATTTTATGTATTTTATAAAAGTCAAAAAATCCTCAGAGGAGCTTTAAAATCTTCAAAATCTTCATTTTGAGGAAATTAAAAGGTTACATTCCTTTAAAATTATTGAACATTTACACAGCCAAAGCTCAAACATGAATAAAACATGAAAATAATTTAGTTTCCTGTAGTTCTGAAATGCATTTGCACGTCAGCACAATCTGCACATTTGCTCCTGTCGAGTAGATTCAGCTCAAAAGATCACAAAAGGGTGTTAAAGGTCTTCATAATCAATCAAGACAGCAAATAATTGGAGTCATAATTCCTACAGGAGTCACACTTTAACGTACCGCCTTTACGAAGAGACACAGTGACGCACTTACAGATGAATAACTTGACATTTGAGATAAACCGGAGAAAGAAGAAACAGCTGAAGTAAAACGACAACGAGGACGACGAGGACGAAGACGAGGACGTGTTTGAAAACTACAGCTGATGGTAGATTGGCCTTTTGGTTTCTCTACAGCAGAGTAATTAATTAAAGATCTCTGACAGTTATTGCCTTCGTGTCGAGACCTTTTTGAAATTAATGAGACGATGATCCTAAATAAAAAGTTCAGCTCACAGTTAATTAGCCCTCAAGTCAATTATGAAAGCAGTGTTTGGGACTAAATAAAATCACCACATACGGACGTCTGCGCTCTGTTCAAAGTTTAAGAGAAGAGTTTTATTTGGACCTGAGAGAGTCTGTTTTTATCCACCGACCTGCACACCTTCATTTGTCGTGTTTAGTCGTGTTGGCCTTGGATAGAGAAAGCACTTAAGATCCATAAATACCATCTTTTCAAGGTGCACAACAAGTCTTTCTGAACCGAGACCTTGAGGCAGAGTTATGTGACTCGCTCCTGAGGCGATGTCAGGAAGACACTGAACTTCAGTTAAGGTAGGGTGACCATATTCTGAATCCCCAAAAAGAGGAGACAACTACACGCGGGTGGAGTCACGGAGTCAAGGGTATTTAATTTTGAGAGTTTTTCGAGTTGGCTCAAGTGTTTTTTACGCACTTCTAACTCAGTAAAACCACGCGACACAAAGTTAAAACTTCCAGACAAAACCTCGGACATTTGAAGGATTTTATTTACTCCCCTGGATAAGGACAGACAGACCCCAAAGAGAGGACATGTCCGAGTAAAAGAGGACGTATGCTCATCCTAAGTTAAGCAGCTGTTGTCTATCCATCGTCTTATAGCAGAGACTAAATAAGCTGAATGTGACTCTGTGGTTTTTATTGCGTCACCTGCACTCTGGCTTCTGATTGGACCGTATGGTAACATGTGATCATGTCCTTACTTGCTAGATTTGGAGTTAATCTTTACACAGGATGAAGTGCATGAAAATCTTAAATCTTGAATGTCTAATTTCAGTGAACTGATCAGAGTTTGTTTTCACTTTTGTCAAAAATTATCTCTCTTTTAAAAAAATTAAATTCACTGAGGCACAAAAGGAAGTTCCTGATAACATGTCGCAAAAATATTAATCTCCACAAGGCCGAGAATTAAAGATTTATACCAAGATTTCAGGTGAGAAGGAGGAAAAGACTGAATACAACCTGAACACATATACGTCCTGTATGTTTTAGCCTTTAGCATGAATAAGGAGAACTAAATTTAACTGCAATTAAAGATTTTGTTAATCAATTTTGAAATCCAAGTTTATTTTCCAAATTTTGACCTTGTCCTGCAGAAATTCGGCGCTATCGTCCAAAAGAAGTGAGAAAATTTCCCAGCAGCTGCCGCAGCAGTCGATGTTTTTTTTCTTAAGTGAAGAGTAAACAACTCTGAGTCCCTCTGTGATCTGTGTACAATGATTTACTGTGGCTGAAAATCACAGCGAGTGGACCCACGCTGCGTCTGACTCACACAGTGTGAATGAAGCGGTCTATAAACAACGATCTGTAAAGAATAAATCCAGCTTTAATTATCTATCTGGAAAAAATTCCTCCATCTGTTTCATGAACTTGAAGACGTGCTCCGACTTCAATCTGCTCGACACTATTTTCAGAGAAGTTCTTTGGAGCCGAACCAGCGAAGAAGTCGAGTCTCTGACACGGAGAGTCTGTGATTGAACATCCAGGTAGAACAAAAGGTTCACCTCCACTTCAGGAGGAGACTAATAGGGATCTGGAGTCCAGGCAGCTCTCCCGGAGAATGTCCTGCTTTTCAACACTAAATGAGTTTAATGGCAGGTTGCTGTCATTCGGCGTGGAGGAAAGCGGTTTAAACACACCGCTGGAGGGTTACTGCAGAGTCACCGTCACTCACAATCTGATTCCCGGGTCCCGCTTCAGCGTCCAATTGGGAATCACTTATGAAGTGTCTGCTGATAACAAGTGAGGCTTTGGCTTCTATCAGGAGCTCGTAGCTGCGGTCCTGATGCAAAGAGACTGAACCCGACATACCTCTATAGAGCATTATGGGTTTCTATTCACTGGTGAAAGTGTTCAGAATAAAAGGTGAGAGGAAATCCTTTCAGAGAGGACAGGAAAAAGATCTGAGCTGAGGTGGAAAATAATGAGATTAAATGTTATGAAGAAAAACTGAGCGTATGAAAAGTTCTCTTCTGCAGATCTATGTATTTTATATCATTTATAGGAAGCTGAAGTCTGAGTTTTGTCCACATTCTGATACAGAAACCTTCCATTCTTGCGGTATAATATCCAGCACATCACGACTTGAATTCCATCTGTTTCCATGAATTGCTCAAGAGATTTCCTCAAGCTGCTCTGCAAACCCGAGTCTTTGAATTATTCAGCCTACTTTACAGCATCGGTAACAGTTCAGACCGCTCAGGTGTTTCACACCTGGAACAAACGCACTGGACAGGGGGATATGTGAGTATGTGGTACAGAGAGGGGGTTAAGCCTGGAGGATTCACGCGGGGCAGCGCTGCGGTGATGCATCGATTCAAAACGCTCTAGAGAAGCAGGTTTCTGGTGTTTTCACAGAAAAAAAAACAGTATAACCTCTAAATATGGTTACAGTTGTGGTCAGAGTGATGCATCCTGGATATGGATGATGTTTTATCATAATACTCCGTTAAAGACGCATCATTTTTGTGGTGAAAATATAAAAGAGCTTTCAATATCAGTCAATAGTTATTAGTTATTGATGACATTTGGTAATATCACAATATCTTCCTTGGTCCGCTCATTCTGACTGTAAACAAAGCCGTTCTCCACCTCCTCTAACCTGATTGGTTGTGAGGCAGACGCTGCTCCCCCGTGTCGTTCAGGAGCCCAAACAAAGTTAGCGTGCTACAATATCGGACAGTAGAAACCAACCAGAAAGTTCGGAAAATTGTCCGAATCCTCCTTTGGCCACGACTGCCGACACAAGCAAGAGAACAAAGTAAATACCGGAGACTCTGGAGGAATAACGGGCGCTTAAAACGGAGGTAGACCGGACAAGAGCTAAAAAGCCGGGTCAACATAAACCATGGGGGACGCTTGGGGATCTTGGTGACCCTGTAACCTTTCTGCTGGACAGGTAAACCGCTTTAACAAAGTAAGACAAGTGTCTGTAACAGAAGTGTTCTTGTCAAACGGACCTGCTGTAGCGTGTTGTAGCGCCATCGCTAAACTGTCCTCCCTCGGGTCCTGGACTATGTCACTTTATCCTCGTTGTAGAAGTCCTGCAAACATTGTGTTTGCTGGTAGTCTGTTGGCATCTACAGTAGCACCAATGCTTTTGACTTTCACCTTGACTGGGCCCCATTTGTAATGATCTGAAGGATTTATCTGCATTATATCTGAATTTAATTGGAACGATACGAGCGAGCAGGAGCGTCTGTTTGTGGGCGGGGCTTGCTGGAGCAGAGAGGGAGGGGAGAGAGCGAGATAGAGAGAGAGAGAGAGAGAGTGTTTCTCTGTGTTGTCTCTTTAACTCTGTGGCTCTAAAACAGTTGAAGTGTGTTTCTGCTCGATGAGGTTTCTATGAGGTGAATAAATGTTGGTTCAGTTGATCTTCAGGACGGCTGCAGCTTTAAGAACTTCTGCTTGTTGGAGTTTGAGAGTCTAAAGTTCACAGAGACGCTCCTCATCCTGGATTATAGACAAACTGGATCCCCCCCCCTCCCTCGTCTCTCACAGCTCACTCCACTCTGCACTCTCACTTCCTTGTTCCCTTCCTTCCTCCCTCCCCCTCATATCTACAGCCTAAAGGTTGGGTCTAAAGGTTGACTTGATCCTGCTGACTCACACATGTTGTTGAGATCAGAGCTCAGACTAGTTTGACTTCTCAGGAAATAAAACTCAGTCAGTCGTCGTCGACAGCGAGTGTTGAAATGGCGCAGAAAGGAGTTCATCTGGACCGTGAGTCTCTCTCTTGTTCCATCTGTTTGGATCTTCTGAAGGATCCGGTGACTGTCACCTGTGGACACAGCTTCTGCATGAGCTGTATTCAATCCTACTGGGATACTGAGGATGAGAAGAAGATCTACAGCTGTCCTCAGTGCAGAGAGACCTTCAGACCGAGGCCTGTCCCAATAAAAAACATCATGTTAGCAGGTTTAGTGGAGGAAGTGAAGAAGAGCGGACTCCAAGCTGCTCCTGGTGGTTCCTCTGAGGCTGGACCTGAAGATGTGGCCTGTGATTTCTGCAGTGGGAGAAAACTGAAAGCTGTCAAGTCCTGTCTTCAATGTCTGGCTTCTTACTGTCAGATTCACCTCCAGCCTCATTTTGAAGTTACTCCATTAAAGAAACACAAGCTGGTGGAGCCCTCCAAGAAGCTCCAGGAGAACATCTGCTCTCGTCATGATGAGGTGATGAAGATGTTCTGCCGCACTGATCAGAAGTCCATCTGTCATCTCTGCTGTTTGGACCAACACAAAGGTCACGACACAGTCTCAGCTGCATCAGAAAGGACTGAGAGGCAGAAAGATCTGGAGGAGAGTCGAGGAAACATCCAGCAGAGAATCCAGGACAGAGAAGAAGATGTGAAGCTGCTCCAACAGGAGGTGGAGGCTATCAACGGCTCTGCTGATAAAGCTGTGGACCACAGCCAGGAGATCTTCAGCCAGCTGATCCGTCTGATGGAGAAACGCCGCTCTGAGGTGGAGCAGCAGGTCAGATCCCAGCAGGAACGTGAAGTGAGTCGAGTCAAAGAGCTTCAGGAGAAACTGGAGCAGGAGATCACTGAGCTGAAGAGGAAAGACGCTGATCTGCAGAAGCTCTCACTCACAGAGGACCACAACCAGTTTCTGCACAGCTACCCCTCACTGTCAGAACCGGGTCAACCTGCAGACTCATCCAGGATCAACATCCGTCCTCTGAGATACTTTGAGGAGGTGACAGCAGCTGTCTCAGAGCTCAGAGAGAAACTCCAGGATCTTCTGACAGAGACGTGGACAAACGTCTCACAGGCCGTGACTGAAGTGGATGTTTTACTGTCAGAACCACCAGGACCAGAACCAGAACCAGAACCCAAGACCAGAGCTGGTTTCTTAAGATATTCACAAAGAATCACACTGGATCCAAACACAGCATGCAGAGGGCTGAAATTATCTGATGGAAACAGAAGAGCAACATTTACAAAACAACGACAGTCTTATCCTGATCATCCAGACAGATTCACTAATTATGTTCAGGTCCTGAGTAGAGAGAGTCTGACTGGACGTTGTTACTGGGAGGTGGACTGGAGAGGGGACAGGGTTGGTGTAGCAGTCGCATACAAGACTATCAGGAGAGACGGGAGATCAGAGGATTGTAAATTTGGAGAAAATGACAAATCTTGGATGTTACTCTGTTATAAAGACAGGTATAGATTTGTTCACAACAAAGTCTTCACTCCTGTCTCAGGTCCTCTGTCCTCCAGAGTAGGAGTGTACCTGGATCACAGAGCAGGTATTCTGTCCTTCTACAGCGTCTCTGAAACCATGACTCTCCTCCACAGAGTCCAGACCACATTCACTGAACCTCTACATGCTGGACTCTCAACTTTAGACTCTGCTGAGTTTATAGAAGTGAACTAAAGAGAATTTTGAGTCCATCAGACCAAAATCATGGACTGAGATCCTTGAACTCTTGAAATGTTCTGGTTTGTAAATGTTTGTGGATCAGTCTCACCAAAAACTCTGGGTTTAGTTCTTCATTTCAGCTTTTTGATTCTTTTCTAAAGATGCTGATTTGGTCGCAGCTTTAAGGACAGTGATTGTGGAGAACTTTGATTGTTTGTATTTCTCATGTTGAAAAATCTTCATCAAGTTTGATATCAACAACATCAAGATGATGGTTTGTTCAAATCACCTTCAGTTGGTGCAGATGTTGAAGGTCTGAGACTTTAGAAAAAAGTGAGGTCAAAATCACAGAAAAAGGACGACCTTATTTCCTGTCCCAAATCCAAGCGTCTAAAGTCTTTCCAGTCGTCCCCAAAAACTCTTCAGATGATCTGTTTCTTTCTCTGTTTGCTGAATATTTGTGTTCATGTGATCGATGGATATTTCTGTCTGCTTCTGTTGGATCAGTGTGTTTGTAAAGACATCTAGAATCAGACTTTGGACAGATCTACATGTTGTTATGAGCTTTTCAATCACTCTAATAATAATAATCACATTTATTAGTCCGACTGTTTGGATGTTTCTGACTCAGCTCAGATTGTGGTCAAGTCTCTGATTGTGGGTAAAAAAATCATAAAAATCCTCAAACTGAGTCACTGAAATCACCTCGTCTGTTTGTCTTTATTGTGTCTGTTTCTGCTGGATGTCATGTTACCGCTCCGTCTGGGTCATGGATCCATGTGGTCTTACATGTCCCAGATGTGAGTCCTGCAGCTGGATCAGGTTTTCTGTAGAGGACAAAGACAGGAGGCAGGTTGTGTGTCTTTTTGATTTGATGTAACCAGACTAGTCCTGTTGAGATCATCAATCTCTTTTTCAGGGGGGGTCCTGACCAAGAATGGCAGCAAAAAACAAACACACTCAGACTCACACAGATCCACATCAGCAACAAGAACTCAGAGTTCATATGAGAGAGTCCAGCTGATCTCTAGTCTAAGGAAAGAAGTCTGGTCCTCAAGAAGAAAACCGACTTAAAGGTGAAGTAGACAGGAATCTGTTAAAGAAGCATCTTTTTATTTTGTGGTTTTTATACAAAAATCTTTTAATATCAGTCAATAGTTATTAGTTATTGATGACATTTGGTAATATATCGATATCTCTGTGTTCTCTTATGTCTGTGTCGTCAACATTTGAACATTTTTGAGCGGTCCGCTCTTTCTGACTGTAAACAAAGCCGTTCTCCACCTCCTCTAACCTGATTGGTTGTGCGGCAGACGCTGCTCCCCCGTGTCGTTCAGGAGCCCAAACAAAGTTAGCGTGCTACAATATCGGACAGTAGAAACCAACCAGAAAGTTCGGAAAATTGTCTGAATCCTCCTTTGGCCACGACTGCCGACACAAGCAAGAAAACAAAGTAAATACCGGAGACTCTGGAGGAATAACGGGCGCTTAAAACGGAGGTAGACCGGACAAGAGCTAAAAAGCCAGGTCAACATAAACCATGGGGGACGCTTGGGGATCTTGGTGACCCTGTAACCTTTCTGCTGGACAGGTAAACCGCTTTAACAAAGTAAGACAAGTGTCTGTAACAGAAGTGTTTCTTGTCAAACGGACCTGCTGTAGCGTGTTGTAGCGCCATCGCTAAACTGTCCTCCCTCGGGTCCTGGACTATGTCACTTTATCCTCGTTGTAGAAGTCCTGCAAACATTGTGTTTGCTGGTAGTCTGTTGGCATCTACAGTAGCACCAATGCTTTTGACTTTCACCTTGACTGGGCCCCATTTGTAGGAGCGTCTGTTTGTGGGCGGGGCTTAAGGGGAGAGGAGGAGCTGAGGGGAAAACTGGTTGGGAGGGGTAGAGTTAGTTTGCATTATTTATCATGTTTTTAATGATAAAGTGTAAGTGTATCGTTGTTGTTATTCCAGGAAAAGTGGGTCTCCTGCTCACACTGTTGCACTCTTCATGAAGCTGTGTTGAACGCCTGATTTCAGGGTCGTAGATCTGATCCCGGTCTCATGAAAACTCGCCTTTTTACTATGGAAATGGTTCAGGAGGAGCAAAGGCAAAGAGCTGAATAAAGAGCGATCGACCAAGTTGAAGAAGACGTGAGGTAGACAGTAAACAGAGCAGGCTATGAGAAAATGGCCGTGTTTACTGAGTGGTGAATGGGAAAGCAAATGTCAACAGACTCTGACGGTGACAAGGGAAAAACTCAATAAGGTGTCCTTCAGGGTAAGATGAGACTCTTCAGCTTCATTTCAGTTTTTATCGCCCTGTTTGGATTTTATTTCACTATTAAATCAGATTTTTTTTCTCTGCTGAGAGTTGGAGGACCTCTCTTTCAAAGTGTGAAGACTCCCTGTTGATTCCGTCCTACAGGAGACTCATTTTAAGGCTGTCTTTGTGGAGGGAAAAACAAGACATCACTTTCTGTAGCTAGAGTTGGGTTTGTCGGAGTTTTGTCGTGTCTGTTTTGAAAATTACAGGAAAGCCAGCAGACACGCTAAATGAAAAAACGTCCATCTTACAGGAAAAACCAATAAACTCGTGAAATTTCGACAACTTCAGGGTCCAAGAAATGAAACCAGCAAGAACCAAAACTCTGGTTCCCTGAGCAGAAACACAAACACACACAGAGCTGTTTTCAAAGTGAGTCAGACCCAGAAGACAACTTTAGAGGAACATGTGAGGGTTTACTAAATACACAAACTAGACTTATGGATTAAAGACAGTTAGGTAATGACGATGTGGTATTACCAGGCCACAAATTTAAACTAATGCAGTTCCTTGAGCGCCCACTAGGGTCTGGCTCCAAAGGTCTTTAAAACAACCAAATTCATTCACAAAGCCACTTCTAACTTCAAAATTCAGCGTGTTTACAGCCTGGTGTTTGGTTTAGAAAGGCTCTATTCTCTATTTGTACACAGTGTACAGGGAGTAACTTTATAATAAGTCATTGGTTTTGGAGCTATTAAGGTTATAAAGTTATTAGTTACCTCACTAATGAAATGGGAAAAACAGGCAAAAGTTTTTGAAGCTTCAAGGAGAAAACTTATCACCAACTTGGGAGCTCCGCGTCTGAAAGGTTGTGACTTATTTCGTTTCTCTGAAAAACAACGATTTTTCTAAGAAATTAGGACAAACACAAAACAGATGAATAATTTATCTGATTGTCTTTTTGATTTTTAATTGTTTTAATATCTCTTTTTTAATTTCCAGTGTATTTCCTTGCATCTGTAAAGCACCAATTGAATGTGTATAAATGGTGCGATACGAATAAACTTGCGTGCCTATGAATTTGCAAAATCAGGGTTTCGAATGGCGAGGAGGCTAAACGCCAGCCTCAGCTTCACCTCAACGACCGCCATCAGTGAGACGACATCCACATATGTCCAAACCTGAGGGCGTTTTCTTGGTTTATTGTGGTGACTTGATTCGACCACTAATCCACAAACTAACAGGTTACATATGAGTGTATATATATATGAGTATGAAACAGCAGTTTTCTGACTTGAAATTCTTCCTTTTTCTTCAGGGTTGATGTCTTTTTAGGAGCGTTATGTTATGACTGATCTTTTTAGTCTTCTTCAAAATGAACATCTTCAAAACGTGGTTGCCCTCCACATCGCACTCTTGCCTCAGATACTGTGTTTTGATCCCACTTCAGTTTTTCCCATTAAGCTTGAAAATGTTTCTTCAAAGCCTGTTTTTGGGAAAGTTGTTTATTTCGTGCTGTGTGCTCGAGTCCCTCTGACAAAAACAAGTGATAGATTTTGGGTTTTTATTCAACATGAGAAGAAATCCTTCCTGAAGAAAAGCTGGTGAAGATGCTCCTAGTGTATCTTGAACTCACTGCACATGTAATTAATCATTCCTGATGTGGAGAGGTGAAGTTTGTGGAGTAATCTGAGAGGTGATTCCCTTGACTTCACACTTGGTCTGTATTATCCTAGAGCTGCACGATTTTGGCCAAAAATAACATCTCTGAAAACTCGATTTTCAATTTTTAATTCAGTGACAACTTCACCAAACTTCACTTTAAGAATAAGTTTTTCTATCATCTCTCAAAACAAAACAACTAAAAACTATGAAGTGCATATGCCAAGCCAGTAAGTGGCGCTGTAACGCTGCACAGGAAATGCACAGAAGAAGAGTATGGATCATGAGTATAAAGGTTGGTTTTGGACTTAGACTTAGTTCCTCCTGTTCCTATTGGAACTTTGGGCGACAAGTCCCCTCCATTTGCTCCGGTCCCAAGCGCCCCTTCTTGCTCCATGCCAGCTGACTCCCATCTCGCTCCGGTCTTCCTTGGCTGTTTGTCTCCATGTCTTCTTTGGCCTCCCTCTACTGCCACACTTGCCGGTCTCTCTCTGTTGGCAGTCGGAGTACATGTCCGGTCATTATCTTTCTCCTGTCAGAGACAATGTCAGACAAGGGTGACTTTAGGATGGATCTGAGGCACCGTCGATGGAGGACATCCAACTCGTTGGTGATGCTGGCCGTCTTCGTCCACGTCTCACAGGCGTAGGTCGCTGTAGGAATGACCAATGACATATAGAGGCGTAGCTTTGTGGCCGTGGTGATGGATTTCGACGACCAGATGTTCCGGAGTCGTTTGAAGACTCCTGCAGCTTGGCCAATTCTGGTCTGTTCGTCTTTCTCCAAGTCTCCAGTATTTGAGATGTTGCTTCCGAGGTTTGTGAAGTTCTCGACGTGCTCTATGTCGTGTTCGGCGATGGTGAGTAGTGGACGGTGTTGATGTTGTGCGACGGTCATGGCCTTGGACTTTTCTTGGCTTAATGGTAATGGTGGTCGGATTACAGATTTATTCACTCTCTGACCTGTTTTCAAAAAGTACCATTTACAGTCAACCGAAACGCCATTTCCATGCGGATGAAACGCCGATACGACAGAAAACTTCAGCTTTCACTCCTGAATTCGTTTCTGTGTGGACGAGTTGATCCCGCCTTCAGACAGACTTTGCAGCAGGGATCGGTTTACTCTTCATCCGAAACTGCGAAGTCGTACCAATTCAACACGACTGACTCGCTCTTGTCCGATTCAACCAAGAAATTATCGCCTTCTTTTGCAAACGCCATGTTTGTGTACACTAGTGTGTGTGGCCTGGAGGTGCGAGGCATGATGGAGAGGAAAATCGATTTGACGATTTTAATTTGTTAAACATCGTTATAACTAAATAATCTGATTAATCGATTAAAATTGTAATATCATGCAGCCCTTTATTATCCTCGTATCAAACTGGTTCCATGTAGTTCTCCAGTAGCTCCTCCCAAAACTATCCCAGTCTACCAGTAATGGTCACCCCCAGCTCCATTATAGAAATGCCACTGCACATACACGCTCCTCTCATTTACAAACGCCATCACAGATATGTTTGACGGCCACATGTCGGACCTGAATCTCATTTTCTCAAGTCTGGGTCTGAGTCGTGAGAGAAACAAGACGAGGAACGCCAAATAAAAAGAAAGAAAGGGAGAGATGTGACTGAATTGTTGATGCAAGTCTATCACATAGAGAGAGAGATGTAAAGGAAAGAGAGGGGAGAGAGGGGAGTGAGGGGAGATACCAGCGATGCAAGGAGACATGCCGGTCTCGGAAAGTCTTGCATCACAGCTGGAATTCTACCAGAGCTAAACAGATGAGGCGATTTTTGAAACGGTCCCTCGGGAGACAGCAGAGGGAGAGCGGGAGCCAAGATGAGCTGGAAGATGAGGTGAGGTCAAGGGGACGGGCATGACGGGAATGTGCAACGAAAGAAAAGTTGTCTTTTGCATCTCGCAGAGTTGTTTAGTCAGCTCTTACCGAGACGTTTATCTGAGCACTGTCATTCTGCGAGGAGAACCGTACTCCAAACACCAAAATAACACTCCTCACCGAAGGGAATTTCTATTGAGAGAGTAACAGATTGGGTCCTTTCGCCGACTTTCTCAAGCACTCAAATGTGAGCTCAAACCACACAGAAACTACACCGACCATTTCGAAGGCAAAAAACAAGCGGCTCTGCGGTCCTGATGCCGCCGACTACCACTTACCCGGACTTAACGCCATGCTGAGCCTTGTCAAGCACCTCTAGTCCTCGTCTGAGAGTCTCTGAGGCCGCGATTGGAGTGTCATGCCGAGGCACAGTACCGCACAGCCTAAGTGGCTATGTGGTGCTTCATTTGGGAGCACTTAAGAGTCTCCCTTGGCTAATTACGTAGCCCTAATTAGCTTACGGGTAGTATCCAGTGAATGCCTAATTGTCTATTGACATTATGCAATGAGCTGCAACAAAACCCTCTATCTCAGTTAGCGTATCGCCTCGGCAGCAAAAATACAGGCTGCTGGAAAAGTGTCCGTCGCAGGGGTTTGTACTGCAGTCGCAAACAGAAGAGGAAGAATGAGAATATTCATATTCAGTATTCAAATCATGACTTTTCAAAGTCAGAGGAAGATGTGAAAGACTGGAGTCTGACAGAGTTTGTTAGGATTGTCTCTGTCTCCTTTTTCTTCCGGCTCCCTCTGAGTCTGTCTCTCTCTTTGTACCATTATCAAATCCAAATTAAATCAGCTTTACTCGGGTTAAATACTCAGCAGAAACAACAATATGAAGCTAATCAACCGTATTTGATTGTCACTACACAAAGGCACAACAAGACATACAAATAATTAGACCTTTCAAACACTCCCTGTACATTTCTGCGGCTTTGTCAGTCCCAGCAGATCCCACGAGCCTTTCCAGGATCCTCAAAAGCATCTTCTGCACAGTTACAAAGTGTGATGGATGGATGTAAGCATCTGCACATTCGACTTCTCCAGCTCTGGGACCAAACACTCACTGCCTGTGTGTGTGTGTGTGTGTGTGTGTGTGTGCTCGCATTAATTCTCAAGGCTTTAGATATAATAAGAATTAGCACACCAACGGCGGTAATTGAAGCATGTTATTTATGCCTTTAATCCAGTGTCTTTGCTCTGCAGGTGGAACATTTGAAGCATCAGCAGCAGCAGCTCAGGTCAGCACTCAAAGTGAAACTCTCCAGGTATTTTCATTTTGGTCCCGGTTTGATGCTGAAAACAACCTCGGGACAAAGCAGACGCATCGAGGTGGTTTGATCAAGCACTCGAAGCTTTTAGCGCGCTTATGAGGAGAAAAACAACCCGTTTGAGAGCTTTTCCTCCGTGTCGTAGTCTGTATAGTACAGAAAATAGCAAAGATCTACTCCGAGTCAATCAGGGAACACATCCTTTACAGGCCAACTCCCTCAAGGTCTTTTCATCGAGCACAATCACTCATCTAATAAAAGCCTCCAGTCAAGTTTGGTATCAACAAAGCAAATTCAGCAAATTGCCTTGACTAAAGGCAGACACATGAAGAGCCTTAAAAATATGAAACTCATACTCGTGTGCTCTAAAGTTTCCGTCTTGAAAGAACTTTTGGCATTGAGCGGTTACTGCAGTTTTTCTCATGGTTACTGTGTGAGCAGAAAAGAAGAGTCACGACAGGAGAAGTTAAAAAGCAGCAGAGCTTAAAGCATCGAACAGAGCTGAGAGTGAGGCTGGTGTGTTTGCAGTCTTTAGTTTTACAGGGCGTTCGCACCAAACGCGAGTAAAATCATTCGCACAAATGAATTACATGTTAAGTAGGGTGACCATATTCTGAATCCCCAAAAAGAGGAAATGGCTATGAGGGGAGCAGAGTCACAGAGTCATGGAGTCACAGAAAGTTAATTTTGAGAGTTTTTCAGGTCGTATCGAGTGTCTGCTACGTGCTTCTAACTCAGACAGTTGACGCGACACAAACTCAAAACTTCCATACAAAACCCTGAACATCTGAAGGATTTTAAACTCCCCCAGACAAGGCTGGACAACCCCCCACTTGTCCAGAGTTAAAGAGGACATATGGTCACCCAAATGCTAAGTCAACGCAAATGGCGAATTAGACACTCATACTACTCTGGCGGTGTGAATGACGCAAATTGAGCGAACGTGAATTCGCTGAAGTTGAAAATATCTCAACTTGAGTGGATATTGGCGTCAGCACTCTACAGCTGGGATAGAGCGCCTGTAATTGGTATCCTGGAGGGATATCCTGACACCGACCCTCACCAACAAGTTGTCAAATTGGGTTCAGGCAACCTGAAAATACCGCTGTAAACAGCTGGGCCCAGCTATCAGAGGAGACCCAGACACGGCGACGCCTAAATCTCTGACAGATGTGGGCCTTCATCATCAACAGAAAAAAAACCAGCAATCCCCTGATCGTGGTTCACTCCTACCGTGCTTGATGGAGACTTTCTGCCTCTCTCGTTTCCACTGAAGGAAGGTCGGCGAGGAGGTCGGAGGAGATCTGGTAAACTGTGAAAAACCGTTGTCTATCATTTGATCCCGTCGGTTGAATCGGCAAGGATCATTGTTGAAATTAACATAAATGGCTATCCACAGTCAAATGGGCTAAATGATTCGCGCGAATAGAGCATCTCATTCGCGCGAATAGAGCAACTCATTCGCGCGAATAGAGCAACTCATTCGCGCGAATAGAGCAACTCATTCGCGCGAATAGAGCAACTCATTCGCGCGAGTACAGCCAGTAGTCTGTGCGTACTAAGCTCGTTGTTTCGCACAATTTAAGCTCATCGTTCACGCGATTGTTTCATTTGCACTTGGTGTGAACGCTGCTTAAGAGCAAACCCACCACAGCTGCTCAGTAGGTCTTGAGATTTTGCAATGATGGATAGTTTTAGCTGTTTGAAAGTAAGTTTCAGTAAACACGAAGGTTCTCAGCAGTCCCATCAGATCCACTCCCATCCTCATCTTCAACCACATGAGTCTATCAAGTTACAGCGAAGAGGAAGAACTTCCTTTAACAGGCAGAAACCTCGAACAGAACCGGACTGATATTAGACAGTCCTCTGCTGAGACTGAACTGGGTTTAGAGAGATGGAGAGAGATTTCTGCTCTCAAACTGAGTTTTTTTTTTCTCTCCACAGAAACACACCAGCAGGTTCTGAATCAAATTCAGTTGGACTCACAGGAGCAGACCCCAGCAATAATGTGCTGAGTAGACTGTTAGCCGACTTGAGCTAACCCTACCTCATAAACTCGTATTATTTTCTGAACACAGTATTTTCTGTCAGACAGGCTGCAGTTTGGTTTCAACTCTCCGAGCATGCAATCTCTCTGTCTCTCTGTGGGACCAAACTGGCAGAATCGGATAAAACTGAAGGAAAAGTTACAGACCTTACGAGCCAGTACAGCTGAGAACTCCAGATGCTGCTTGTTTCCCTGTTTTCTCTCATTAGGATGCGGACGGTGTTTGCAAGCTAAACCGAGAAATGTCAACAACTCTGACCATAACAGGGAGATTCGTCATCGGATCATCGAACATTCACGGAGGTAGAAATCTGCTCAAATCATCTCCTTCAGATTTTGTACAGATACTTATGTTGTTGCTGTCTAAGGTTATTCATCCTGTTTACGCTTGTTGCCATGGCTACATAGTCTTCTGTCTATTCCATGTGACATCTGGAACACGTTGACACAACAGGATCTCTAATTTACATGTTACATCTAATTCACAACGAAGACAAACTTCAAAAAAGAGATTTTTCTGACAGGGACAAATTCACATCTTCACTAATTAACATGAACTATTAATCAAATAAGCTGGTTTATGACCCACAGCTGCAGCTTCACAGAGCAGCCGGGTTATTAATAACTAACTTCAGTGTTAAATAACAGAGAAGAAAAAAACAGATTTGACTTTAAGTGTTTCTGAT